TATAATATAAGAAAAAGCGGTTTCGAGAACCAGAAAGTGTTGAGCACAGCATTGTCGCTCGGCTGACAAGGTTGGGGATCCGAAAAACGATATATGAGATTGTGTGTGCAATAAGGCGCTATCTGGTGGAAAATGAAAGAGTGAATATATATTTTGAAGACGGTAAACATTACTGGTAAGTTGCTGTATTATAGTGTTTAAAGCGCTGTTTATTATGATAGTTGGTAAAAAGTTGGTTTTCCTATATTTATGTAGTTTTCAAACGTTTAGGAAAAGTGCTAGGTTCGAATCCTATAGGAAAAGTGCTAGGTTCGAATCTAGGTTCGAATCCCACCGTGGCCGGGCATGTTTTTCAAGCTCGCCCGGTGTGGATATGCACTCAGAGTAACATCGCAAACATATTATTCACCTGAGTACACAACACCAACATAGAAACATTTATAAAGTGTAGTTTAATATAAATTGTAGTTTAGTATAAATTTCTAAATACAACTTACTGTATTTAGAAATAATTCTAAACGTAGCAATTAAATATATTTGCATAATCTTTTGTTTACGCCTCAATTTCCCTATTGTTCAAAGCCCTTCCCACTTGAAGTAATTAAAGTCCTGGTCTAGACGGGGTATCCAGATAGATACACGTGATGTAAATTAAACCATGTCATTGGCCGAAATGCTATGAATATCTAATGATGTATGAGAACTGCATTGAAAAGTCCTTGAAAAAACAGCACATTACATTGCATAAAATTAGATTATTACATACCCAGATAAGGGGCGGACCATTAGAAATCCCGGGAGGGGGGGTGAAAATTCCAAAAAAAAAATTCGTGCGAAGAAAAATGCCTGGAAAAAAAATTCGTGCAGCCATTACGTCAGAGAAAAAAAATTCGTGCAAGCAAACAGCAAAGTACAAATAGTCTTGAAAAAAAATTCGTGCAGAGGTTAAATGCATTAAAAAAATTCCTGCAGAGACATGAGACTGAAAAAAAAATTCGTGCCGCAAAAATTTTATACCCCCCTCCCGGGATTTCTAATGGTCCGCCCCTAACAGAGAAAATTAAGCATGAAATTTTTGCAATTGTAGCTAAATTAAATTTTCGTTTGCGTAAAAGTAGGCCGTGCGGGAATTTTAGGTATATTTAAACGGGAATTTTAGGTATATTTAAACCGATAACTGCATTGAAAAGCGCTTGAAAAAATAGCACATTACATTGCATAAAATTAGATTACTACATACCCAGATGACTCAGAATATTAAGCATGAAAGTTGCAGCATATCCGCGTTTTATCCTTATATCAAGGATTCGTTACGAAGGTTCGAAAAACCCCGCATTTTCACATGTATTTTACTGATCAACTTATCGCGGACAATTTATTACGATTAATAATAGTCTTTTATAATATATCCTAATATATCCCTTTCAACAAAACGCGGATTTGATTTTAAAATCGAGTTTCGTGTCAAATGAAGCCGTCCCCCCTTCCATCCGCCTGTCCCCCGTCCATCCGCCTGCCCCCGTCCATCCACCTGTCCCCCACCCGTCCATCCGCCTCTTCCCCCGTCCATCCGCCTGTCTCCCCCGTACATCCGCCTGTCCCCTCCGTCCGTCCGTCCGTCCGTATCCGCATTTTTCAATTTTCCTGTGTTTTATATTTTCGGCCGTTTCGTTTCGGCCGTTTCGTTTCGTTTCGTTTCGGTCGTTTCGTTTCGTTTCGGTTGTTTCGTTTCGGTCGTTTCGTTTCGGTCGTTTCGGTGGTTTCGGCCGTTTCGTTTCGGTCGTTTCGTTTCGACGTTTCGCCTTTTAGTACATG